TATTAAAGGAATTAACAATTCTCACATTTTATTGGCTACTTAAAAAAAAATTCAAACTGAAAGAAATTACGCCAAAGCAACCATTTCCTTAAAATTACCTGTGAAAACTCGATGGGGATCAATTATTCATAGTTTACAAAGCCTTCTTGATACAAAATATGCATAAAAAACATTAGCAGTTTGTGAAATAGTTGTAGATTTACTTAGTAAACGAAGTGCAAAGTTGATATTGGATGAGAATATTTTTTGGGTAAAAGTTTGAAACTTTTATCACCTAAAAAAACCCTATTGTTAAATACAGATAGACCAAGGTTAAGTCAAGTAGCTGAATGCTTTTATGAGTTGCAAAGACTTTTTGAAACAGCCCTTTCCTCAAGCTCTTTGCTTAACTAAGAGGTAAAGGAAGTAAAAAACTTTTTAGTTAAGAGAAAGCAAACGGCAATAAATCCAATCCATCTTGCTGCAAATATTCCAGATCCAAATTTTAATGGAATTCATCTTAATAGAGAAGAACAAATACAAGGAACAGAGTTTATAGACATTATGGCTACTGTAACAAGCCCAGATGAGTCTGCAGAGGTAATGGCAGAATTGGCTCTTTATCGATCTAATGAAGGGTTATTTGGAAAACCATATGTTTTAAAATCCGCGGAAAAACGACATCCCGTTATATGGTGGAAGGGGTCGACATTAAGTAAAGTAGCGGTCAAGATACTAAGTATGCCGCGTCGAGTGCAGCAACAGAAAGAAGCTTCAGCACCTACAGCTTTATTCACACTGCGAAAAGAAATGGGCTTACGGCTGAATGAGCTGGTAAAATAACTTTCATTACCTATAATTTAAAATTATTAAATTCTGCCAGCAATGTGGAGGTTAATGAAGGCAATGAAGACATGTCTGATATTAAACTGATTGAATGCAGTGATTGGAAACTTTTCCAGAGCTGTCTGAAAATTCATTAGATTCGACCTAATAATTGTTTAATTTTTCTTAGAATAATTCTTGTTTTTTCTTGTTTCTTATTTGTTTCAAAGAACAAATTATTTTTTTACGCCAAATATATTCTAAACATAATAAATAAGTCCGCCATAGTAATTAATCCCATAAATATGAACCATGCCACGATACAGCCGTCAGACTGAATTTGCCGAGCTGTATTTGTTCTCAGAAAATTCTCAAAATCGAGAATATTCTCCTTTTTTTTTCTCGAGAATTTTCCATTTCTAATCAAACATCAAGTTTGTTTTTCTATATTATGCATAGCACAATTGTATAACACCTAGTAAAAAATACATACTAATTAGTACTTATTTTTAACACCAAATTAAACTAGATAATGTTTTGCAGCTTTTCCTAGTGGTTCAGTCTGCTTTATCCATAATTATTGATAAATATCATATATTTACCGTTTTATGATCAAAACGCAAAAACGATGCGAAACACTGCGATACGCGGAACACACGTTTAAACTATTATTGTTTTTGTTATAATTCCGCACTATTGCTCGCGTTTGAATCGACTAGGACACTAGGTCACTAAATCGAACGGCTTCATCCTCTGAAGGCGACGCAGGACATCCTCGTTGTCGAGAAGCTGGATGGCTTCGATGTTGGGATGATCGTGCATTCTCTTTTGATGTTTAGATGCGAATGATGCAATTTCTGATGACACCGATGCTACTTTCAAGTCGCGATGGAGGTTGGTGTTTCTTATATACCAGGGTGCATTCACTATGCACCTTAGTACCCCACAGTTGGATTCCGTATGTCCATTTTGGTTTTAATACTTGCTTGTATATTAGCAACTTGTTACTTAGTGATAGCGTTGATTTTCTGCCAATAAGCCAATATAGGTGTCTAAATTTGATATCAAGTTTCTCACGCTTTTTCATCCAGCGTCATATCAAGATATTTTGCGGTGTCGGCGTAAGGAACTGCATTGCCATTTATGTGTACTGGGACATAGTTTACTTTCTTATAAGTAAAGTTTATGTATGTCGATTTGCTTGTATTTAGTATTATTAGCCATCGTTTGGTCCAGTTTTCTATTGAATTTAAGGCCAATTGTAACTTATTTGCTGCAACTACTTCATTTTCTGCAACAGCCAAGATCGCTGTGTCATCTGCGAATGTAGCTGTTAAAGTTTCTGGTACCTGAGGAAGGTCGAATGTGTAGAGTAAGTACAGTGTTGGGCCAAGCACACTTCCTTGAGGAACTCCGACTCGTATTTCATGTAGTGGTGAATAAGCGTTTTCGTATTTTACTCTAAAATATCGATCAGAAAGATACGATTTTAATAGTTGACTGTACGTTGATGGTAGAATTTGGTTTAGTTTGTAATTTAAACCATCTAACCAGACTTTGTCGAAAGCTTGTGCATCATCCAGAAATATGGCGGAGCAGACTTTATTTTCTTCCATTGCTATTTCTATGGTATCCGTTATCTATGCACTTGGTCTATTGTTGCATGTTTTTTCCGAAACAAAAATTGATGTGTTGGTATTAGGGATTTTTCTTCTATGACAGGTTTTAGTCTTTTTAATAGTAATTTTTCAAGCAGTTTTGATGGTAAGGGTAATAATGAGATTGGTCTATATGATGTAGCAACTGTGGAGGGTTTACCAGGTTTTGGCATCATTATTATTTCAGCAACTTTCTATATGCTTCGGAAGTATTTCTGTTTAAAAACAGCATTAATTATGTGTAATAGTTTTATAATCGCACGTTTTGGCAGATGTTTCAATGTTTCTCCATTAATTAGGTCATAGCCTACTGATTTCTTTATATTTAGTTTTTGTATTTCATAATACAGTTCTTTCATTCTTACACATGGTGTATTACTCTGCTGATCACTTTGAATTCCGCTTGGGACACTATTTAGCATAGTTCTTGGACTGTCTGATGTAAAAGTTTCTTTCAGATGTTCAGCAAACAAATTTAACTTTTTCTTGATTGCTCTTAGCCCAATTTCCATTATTATTTCGAATTGGAGGTGTATGTGTTTTTGGAACTTTAAGCTTTCTTGTTGCCTTCCACAGAGAATAATCAGTACTGGCATCGTCAGTAAGTAAGTCTTTTAAGTAATTTTGAATATTATTATCTTTGTGGCTATCTGTTAATGCTCTTAATTCGGCTTTTATTTTACTTAATTTATTATAATTTACTTATTTTATTTCGGTTTTTCTGCAATTTTGTCTCTAATGAATTTAGGATAAATATTAGATTTAGGTTTTGGTGTTAAAATTGGTGTTGAGGCCCAGACTGCGTTTTGTATGTCTTTTAAGAACCTTTCTACTTCATTGTCAATGTCTTCGTTCATAAGAGCATTAAGATGAATTTTATTATGTAATTTTTGTTGAAATAGATTCCAATTAGTGAGTTTATTAGTTAGTGATAAAAAGAGTTCTTTGTTACATACTTTGTTATTTAGAGTAATAATTACTGGTGAGTGATCTGAGTCCAGCCCTAAATCTTCTTCTATGTTTACGAAGTTAATCAATATATTTTTCGTAATAAAAAATCAAGCAAGTCCAGAATTTCACTTCTATCTGTTGGCCTGTAAGTTGGCTTCTCAGTGGAGAGCACCTCACAGTGTAGGGCCTCTATTGCATGGTTCAGTTCTCTTCCTTTTGTATTTGGCAAGCGCGAATCCCAAGACATATGTTTTGCATTAAAGTCTCCTCCAAGTATAAATTTGTTGTCAAGATATAGTAGAATATCCTGATAATCTTCTCTTTTGAGATTATGTTTCGGTGGTATGTACTTACGTTGCTCCTACAGATATTAAGCCATTAGCAGTTTGAACTTTTACCACTGTAGTTTGGTGTTGTTCACTACTAATTGTATTGTTCAAATAGTGGTCAACATTCCTTTTAATAATAATTGCACTTCCACCTCGATCCGCATTGCTCGGGTGAATTGTGTGATAAATATTGTAATGGTTGATGTCTATATACTCTATATACTCAATATTGTTTTCTTTAAGTATTATTGATAGTGTGTTTTGATGCTGTCGAAGACCATTGGAATTCCACAGCATTATTTTTAGTTGCTGCTTTTTAAACATTTTGATTTCTTTTTTGAATCGCTCCTTGGTTTAAATTGCTTTCAATGAAATCTAGATTTGCATAGGTATAATGTTTTTATTGTTTCTTCTTGTTGAAGTATTTTTTTTAGTATTAGATCTAATTTACTATCAGCCTTCTTATCGATTAATGTACTTACGTTTATATAAGTACATTAAACATCAAGTGAATTAACAGATTAAGAATATCCATAGAACGAAAGTATAACGAAAATAATGAGTCACCATCAACGTCTTCGGCAATAACGTCCTTTAGACTAATCCGACTAATCGGAGTAGGGAATATTAGATTTTTTTTGATACTGTCCTCAATATCACCAACATAATCCCGATATAATCCCCCATACTTTGAAACTCCCCTTGAAAAGTAAGCAATTTAATTGTACCCAGTATTATGGCGTGATATGAATGCCGTCCCTATGTACCAAAGAATAAATGCTTACTGAAATAGGCAATATACTAAAAACTCAGTGACTATGAAATCAATACTATTTCGAAAGATATTATTATAATTAAGTTGATTCAGATTACATAGACAGAAAACTTATTCTAATAAACAGATCACGAAAAAATCGTAAAACCGACGGATACAAAATCGAGCTCCTAACAAATATGTGGTAAATTAATGTAACCCAAAGGAAACGACGGCACTCAAGCAGTTGTTAACAAAACTGAATGCAGGTCCTCACTATTCGTTTGAGGAAACAATCGCTTTCACATCTTGTAGCACCTTCACCAGCCAAATTTCATGAAATCTCTTTTATTTTGTTTTGTTAATGTCAATCTTGCAGCTTTGGCGTTTCGTGTTATACGTTTAAATTAATTTAATTATTTTTTATTTGTCGAATTAAGATCGGTTGATAAAGGGTTACAGTATCAAACAAATCTTTTCCTGAGATTAGAAAATAAGGCTATATTTGTAAAAGTCCAACTCATTTATTTATAGCATCATCTATTAAACATACACACTTCTATACACACATTAGTTACTTAAAATAAAAACTTTAAACTTAATAGACAGCCTGTAGAGGACGATTAAATGTTACAATAAAAACAAAGACCAATTTTACAAATTTCAGATTGATTTAACTTAATTTCTACTCAAATATTATAAACTGAAGGTTAATTTTTTATATTGAAATTGGTAAAAGTGGTCTTAAATTTAGTTTTCTCCCCTACTGAAAGGAGATTTAATTTTTTAATAATCACTGATCAACGGATTTATTATTTTTTCGTTTCCTTTTAGTCTTAATATTAGATAATATTTCATAAGCTTGTTGAATTTCCATAAACTTTTCTTGAGCTTCCCTTTGTTTTGCTGGATCTTTGATTTTATCCGGATGAAACTCTCTACTCAACGCTCTCCATTTCGCTGTAATCTCAGATTGAGAGGCTGTGGGTCCCAAACCTAACACTTTATACGCGTTTTGCTCGCCATTTACATCCGATAAATCTATTATTTGCTTATAAATTTCATACCTAAAAAAAAACAAAATTATTTATTAAATATTTTTCGAACAAATTTAAACAAAAACTGTCGTAAAACATTACCAGCCATGATGTTGAGCATAAATATAAATGTCATGTAACGATTGTTTAAGGTCAGTCCACCAGGGAGACGTGAAAAAGTGATGAAAAGCTTCGTGTACAGGAACTGTATCGCCATTTGAATCGGTTATTTTTCCGTTAAAGTAAAAGTAACACGACCATAAACTTAAGTAAAGTATTCCGCACGTCGTTAAAACAAATACTCGTCTAAAAAAGAAATAGTTGTTTTAACAAGCAAATTATTTTTTAATTATATATTTAAAATCAATTACTTGAAAAAAGATTTTCTTTTTGGAGGATCTTTTCTCCATTCCTTTGAAAATGTATCAAACGCAAGAGCCGACGTAACGATCATCGATGAAAACCACACGCTTTCATCAAAATAGATATATCTGACTAGGTATCCTACATAAGCGCCCCCAATTGCGTACCATGGAGAACCTTTTTCTCTACCAATATTACCTACTATCCAAACACCTATTCAAAAAAGCCATTTTTTATTAAAGATTGCGGTTAATTAATTAAGTAATAAGGTTAGTTTTTATTCACCTAAACTAGCTCCTAATGGTATAAACCAATGCAAATACTGCCAATTATATCCGCCAAAGTCATCTTCTGGTATGGCAATCATTACTAGTTGTCCCCATAAGTAGGATATCATTAGAGAAGACATAAACCTCGATATAGAGAAAGGAGGCTAAAAAGTAAAAATAATTAATTTTATGATTATTATACAAAATAATTACTTATAAATTAGTTATAAAGGATTTAAATTGACGGATTTAAGATCTTTACAAAAAATGTGAACCGTTACCTTTAATTCATTCATAAATTAAACTTAATTGCAATTTTCAAGGTTATTTATTTATTTAATTACACTTTATTTAATCAAGTAAAAATAGACGAATAATACTATTAATACTATACGAATAATAGTAATGTAACAAATCTAATAATGAAAAATAATAATAAATCTAACACAATGTTATTAATAATAATAATGTAATCGCAAAAACTGGATCGTATTCAACAAAGTACAGATAAGCTCATATAGACGCAATTTGTTCATCACCCCTTGAAAAACAACTTTCATTGCCCATAATTTAAAATTATTTAATTCTGCCATCAATGTGGAGGTTAATGAAGGCAATGAAGACATTTCTGATATTGAAGTGATTGAATGCAGTGATTGGAAATTTTGCCAGAGCTGTCTGAAAATTCATTAGATTCCAACTAATAATTGTTTAATTTTTCTTAGAATAATTCTTGTTTTTTCTTGTTTCTTATTTGTTATTTGTTTCAAAGAATAAATTATTTTTTTACCCCATGAAAATGATCATCACCCCTTGAAAAACAACTGAATCCCAAAAATCAAACAACATAGGCGTAAGAACAGGGATATTAAATTTGTATGCTAAGTATTTGCTGCAAACTCTGAATACGATCAATATTGTAACCACCGAGACGAAATTTGAAAAGTAACACCTAATAAAGGAAATGATCTTTGGTGGATGATTACAAGATCGTAAGTTGATGGGATAAAATCTACACGTTTAGAAATGAAACATATAACCTCAGAAATGTGATTAGGAAATGAACATTTACTGAAAGATCTATAAAATATTACATATCATGAAATTGATCATTATCATGTTACATTTCTAATTGGAAACAGAAGAAGGAATCTTACTGAATTTCATAAAACTAATTAAACTGGAAATTAGTAGCAAATACCAAAAATTGTATGTAAGTCTTCATATGAAATGGAGTTCATGCTACCATTAGTTGTACTGTTGCACATCTATTTCTGAGAGTTTTAAATGTGCGTCATAAACCGAAAAAAGTGGAAGTCGTCAATTTCGTTATTGCTTGTTTAATTATTTTACTCTATTATCTTTATTTTTTGAGCCTAAGTTTTTTCAATTATTTTTTCTTATCTGAATCTCATCAGATATCTTATTCGCTTTTGGTCTATTCTTTGAGATTTTGCAGTTAGAAATAAGTTTTAAACTTTGTAAAAACAACTGTTGTAATACGCTTTATGAATGAACACTTTTTATTTTTGAGTTAAAGCCGTCTGGGTCTTGGGTACCAACTTTTAATCTTTTGTGGCAGAAGGGACTACTAATTGTTTTTTTCATGTCAGCTGAAATAACAGTATGCATTCTACAATATTCTTTGAAGTTGTCAGGGGCTGCATTACTACTAACAATAAGAGAATAGGTAAATTTAGTTTTAGAATGTTTTCCCCTGTATTGTAGGAAAATGTAAGAATGCAAGTGTTACCAGTTTTAGTTCGGATGAAATATGATACTTTTTAGGTGTAGAAGAACTTTGGGTTCTACTTCAATTTGTAGTTCATTATGACATGTTCTTGCTTGGAGATCCGTAACTGCACGATTCAAAATACATCCAAGTTATATTTAGGTGTAATAGAGAACTTATTAAAACTTAATTAATTTGCCGAAACATCTCTTTACTTAAATAGTATATGAACCAGTTGCTCGGGTTTACCTGGCCTTTTCAGTTATACATATTAACGATATAATATCGAGATCTTGTAGCGCTGACAAATGTTCTGTACCCACATTTTCTAATCATTTTATTTCATTAATGTTATTTTATTTCATATATTTCGTCCATCATTTCAAAACTGAAACGTAATTGGCGATCTGATATTTCTTGCCTCAAATTTGCCTAGAGTCTAAATATTTAGGAAATATTTTATTTTAAAATGCCAACACTAATTTTAAAATATTCAATGACATCGTCGATTACAAGTGTGTTTTCTAGCCATACTTCGAGAATGGCAAGAAAACAAATTAAACTATAAGATATAGATTCATGATATAGATTGATACATAGTCACGAACTACGACATACTACTCTGGATTTTTATTCTATTATTCTACATCTCCAAATATTAAGAGCTTCTATGAAATGGGTAAAGAGAACAGATCCCTGACATCTAAATATGAGGTTCGGCGAAGTTTTGCAACGATATCCTCCACATTAGTTTCAAAAACCAACCATTCTCAAATTTAAGAGAAATAGATTTGTCAATATCCATGATAAGTATCTTCGATAAAATATTTTCCTGCTCTTGATTGAAAACAGTTGGTCTTCTCATTAGTGGATTTGAATCTTTCATACTTTTCAATCAATCGTTTAGAGTTGACCGTGGAAATTATTTCATAGCACGGAAAATGTATGTCCAGGAATAGGTTTTGCGATATCCTGAGATTTTTGCATCGCGAAGTGGATACGAACGACCGTTTATATAAAATACAACTTATTTTAGTAATAATTATTCAAAACATTCAGCAATTGGTTTTTCAAATGAAACAACTTTTATAGACGAATCTATTCACTGACGAGGGTGCCTAAAATTTAGACAGTATATTATGAACATGAGGCATAAGTACGGAATAAAGCTGTATGAACTTACCACATTTGTTGGTTTTGTTTTGAATATACTGGTCTATACTGAAAAACGCACTATAATAGACAATGATCAAGAGTATTTCCACACGTTTTCAGTCATAACGGAGGTACTAAAAGACTATTTGAATAAAGGGCATGAAATATACCTTGATAATTATTACACTAGTATCCGGCTACCAAAATATTTGTTCTAAAGGAAGACGTTATGATATCAACAATGTATAAACACCGAATAGTAGAAGCAACAAATAGAAAAGAAAAACAATAAAACCAGAGTGTGTTCTCGCCTACAATAAGTAGCGTACATGTCCGAAATAGACAGATCAGACCAGATGATGGGATACTACTCATCACCAAGGTAAGCCATAAGATGGTACAGAAAAGTGTTCTTTCATCTTATAGATATTGCAATGTGGAATGCCTATTACATATACAGGGTGTTTCATTTAAAATGACATATGCTTATATCTCGAAAACCAAAACTCGAATCGAAAAAAGTTTCAAGTAAACTTTTTTTGGTCAAAAGGGGGGCACAGGATACACATGAGCACATTTCTTTTCAGGGTTGCCTAAAGGTTCTTTTGACGTCATTTTCATTTTTTCAAATCGTACATATACTTATACAAGTACTTTTTGCTTAAAAAATATTTTTCTTAAATCTGCGTTATGAAGATATCTACAAAAAGAAAAATAAAATAATTTTTACTTTGCAAAATGTAATTAAAAAAAATTAATTAATAAAAAACGATTTAATTAATCGTAAAATAGTACTAAAATTCTTCTTCATTTTTGAAATCACCTTAGAACATTGATTAAAATTTATAAAGTTATCTTTATACATCGATTAAATGCTCAAAATTATGACTATTCACTTCTAAACATTTCTGCATTTCTTCAGTTATTGATTCGCAAGCTGCTCTGGTACGGTTTTTCATATCGTTTAGTGTTGTTGGAACGTGGTTGTAAACTTTCTCTTTGAGGTAACCCCAAAGAAAGAAATCGGGAGAAGTTAAGTCGGGTGATCTAGCTGGCCAATTCACCGGTCCATTACGTCCTATCCATTTTTCAGGAAACATTTCGTCTAAAACTTCTCTTCCGGCTAGAGCATAATGAGATGGACATCCATCATGTTGATACCATAGCGCAAGTCTTCAGAGTAAGGTCTTCCAACAAAACCGGTAAATCGTTCAACAAAAAATTCCGATACTTTCTGCCATTCAAATTGCCATCAATAAAAAAAGGTCCAATTATTTTATTGCCTACAATGCCGCACNTTTTGGTGAAAAAGGGGGCACAGGGTACACATGAGCAGATTTTTTTTCAAGGTTGCCTAAAGGTCTTTCTGACGTCATTTTCATTTTTTCAAATCGCACATATACTTTTTTCTTTCAACGTCTTGAACAACTTGACAAACTAAGTATTTTTTGCTTAAAAAATTTTTTTCTTAAATTCTGCGTTATGAAGATATCTACAAAAAGAAAAATAAAACAATTTTTATTTTTCAAAATGTAAGTAAAAAAATTTAATTAATAAAAAACGATTTAATTAATCGTAAAACAGTACTAAAATTCTTCTTCATTTTTGAAATCACCTTAGAACATTGATTAAAATGTATAAAGTTACCTTTATACATCGATTAAATGCTCAAAATGATGACCATTCACTTCTAAACATATCTGAATTCTCATTGAAAACGTTCTCTGCACATCGCCAAGCATTTCTTCAGTTATTGATTCGCAAGTTGCTCTGATACGGTTTTTCATATCATTTGGTGTTGTTGGAACCTGGTTGTAAACTTTCTCTTTGAGGTAACCCCAAAGAAAGAAATCGGGAGAAGTTAAGTCGGGTGATCTAGCTGGCCAATACACCGGTCCATTACGTTCTATCCATTCTTCAGGAAACATTTCGTCTAAAACTTCTGTTGCGGCTAAAGCATAATGAGATGGATACCATAGCGCAAGTCTTCGCTCCAGAGTAAGGTCTTCCAACAAAACCGGTAAATCGTTCAACAAAAAATTCCGATACTTTCTGCCATTCAAATTGCCATCAATAAAAAAAGGTTCAATTATTTTATTGCCAACAATGCCGCACCAGACATTAACTGACCAAGGCTTTTGATGATCAACTTGTCTTAGCCAACGAGAATTTTCATGTGACCAGTAGTGCATGTTATGACGATTTACTTAGCCGTGATTGGTGAAAGAGGAGTCGTCGCAAAATAATACATTGAAGAAAAAATTTCATTCAATCTTAATTTTTTCATTGCCCAAGTACAAAATTGCACACGATTTTCGAAATCATCGCCATGTAATTGTTGGTGTAGAGAGACATGATGCGGATGAAACTTATTAAGTTTCAAAATCCGATGTACACTCGTTAACGAAATGCCTGAATCTTTCGACAATTGACGGCAACTCACATGAGGATTCACATCTACAACTGCTAAAACAGCTATTTGATTCTGTTCACAACCGACCTTGCACGGGTTCGTTTTTTTCCTCCACGTTACCACATTCCAGAAATTTTGTAACTCTTCGATATAAAGTTTTAGGACAAGGCGCTCTTTCTCCAGGAAATTTTCAAACATAAATGCGATGGGCCTCAGCGAAATTTTCACGACTTTCACCGTAAGCTAACACCATCTGAATTTTCTATGGAGTAGAGAAGTGCTCCATTTTTGCTTTGATCACAATGATTTTTTCGCTTGAAATTTTTATCCTACGTGCAAGTTAGCGCACATCCAAACAAGGTTTAGAACAGGATTTACTCGATTTATAAACATTAAAAAAAAAAGTTAATCGACTTTCTAAAACGATTTCAAAAGTTAAGAAGAATTTTATTATTATTTTACGATTAATTAAATCGTTTTTTTTATTAATTAATTTTTTTAATTACATTTTGAAACATGTTATTTTATTTTTGCTTTTGTTGATATCTTCACAACGGAGAGTTTAAGAACAACATTTTTTAGGTAAAAAGTAATCAGTGAAAAATCTGAAAAAAATTCTGTTCATGTGTACAATGTTTACTTGAAACTTTTTTCGATTCGACTTTTTGTTTTTGAGATATAAGCATATGTCATTTTAAATGAAACACCCGGTATAAGAAGAAAAGAGATACAACCAAAATTGATCTCTTAAGGTTCAGTTTATAAAAGATATGCTACAGGTCAATGATGGATATACTATGCCAACCACAGACCAACAATCAGAATTCCATTCTCTGAAGACAGTTCCCTCCACACAGAAAGACAAATCCACGATGAAGAGGTGTCGCCGTGTAGTAGAGATGGAATTTACAAGAAATCCAGATACAACTGCCCGGATATGTTCAGAAAACCGTGGTTTATGCGTAGATCCATGCTTTAGAATCTGGTATAGTGCTCAATAATTATGTTTTGTTAAAATTTTGGGGTAGCTGTAGTATTCATTTCGGTTTGTATAGCACATTAAGTTGTATTTAGAAAAGAAAAGAGAGACTTTGAAGAAATTCAGGTGTGTCCAGCTGACTGAACGTTGTTACAGACATATAATGGAGGGAATCCATGTTGCAAGTCATTTCAACAAAATAAAAAGTTTACTTCACGCTTGCTTGTAGTATTTTATTTGAAAACTAGTTTCGAGAGTGTTCTCTCATCATCAGTTGAAAACATCAGTTGAAGGTTTTAATGGTTTTGATGTTTTGATTTTGTTTGTTTTTAATATGTTCGTGAATAATATGATGCTTTCCTCGACTTTTACTGTACAAGTCTCGAAATTTGACCGTAAGTTTTTGCCATTTATATATTTTTATTTTTGTTTTATGTCTTTCAATTTTCTTTAATTCATTTTGATGCTATTTTTCGTGCTAATACAAGAAATCTTTGTAATTTCATGTACAGTTTTCAACTGGTGATGAGAGAACACTCTCGAAACTAGTTTTGAAATAAAATACTACAAGCAAGAGTGAAGTAAACTTTTTATTTTGTTGTTACAGAACTTAGAAATTCTAAGTCCAGTACCGACGTCCAGTAAACTGGACTAGGTCTTTTTTTACAAAAATTTTGCAAAAACGTCCTATACAATAAACCAACATGTAAATAACACATACCTGAATCTCGAAATCAAAGAAACTACGAATGGTACACGGGAAAAAAACAGAAAAAAAGAAGTTGAAGGAACATGTAGAAAAATTGAGTAAGAAGAGAATGGCAAAAATTTTTAAATTTTAAATGAGGAATTGTCTCTAATCGAAGGTAGAAAAAGAAGAATCTTTGAATAAAATGTATGCCAAATTTCATATCTGTATGTGCTTCCGTTCTCAAAAATATTTCACTTTTAGAACAAAGCCGTTATATTCATAAATATAATTCATTTTTTTTTCATTTTAAATACGCAACGTATCATGAAAATATATTTACGTAAAGAAATTTCTTAAAATGAATCTTTTATGATAATGAAAGTACACGCGAAACTGTCAGTGTCATCTCAAAGATTGCTTGTACTAGTGTAGATGTTCGAAAGGGTTATGTTCATATGGTAATATTAGTTTTCTATTTTTAAAAGGTGGTGGAACATCCCCACATGGCCCAACTCCCACGGTCTACCGCAAGATTACACCGCAGTGAAATCCTTCCCGTAAGATTTTTTTAATTTTTTTTTTCTAGCTCGCCAGCTCACTATTTCACTAGTATTTTTGCCCTCAATTCAGTTAATAATCGTCATCAACCATCATCATTTAACATCATTTATTATTGCATTATGTTACGTTATCTTGATGCATACAAAAATCGTATGCGTTATAGTGTTAAATTAAAATAACAGTATTTTTAATTTCAAATACTTTCTATTTTTAGAATGAGTACGCATTGTAAAGTGCAACACATTTTCCATTGTAAGATAAGCATAAGCAAGGATATTTACAGAATGATAAAAATTTATATACTCTCTGAAAATGACGTGTACCTACTTTACAATGATAAAAAAAATATGAAACCTACACGAATTAAAATTGGCATTAATAACTACGACTCAATATTGTGGTAGATATCTACAATTAAATGTTGTCAAAACAGTCGTAAATAAGTAATAAAAAAATTGATAAAAGTACAAACAATATAATTTGTTCGTATAATTTATTGAATCATTTAAAATTACCTTTTTGTTTTCACGTATTTTTCTCATCATCTCCTTCATCAAAGCTGGATCCTGATTCACTTCTTTAACATATCTCGGAATCTTCGTAATATCAGCCAACCACCCCAATCCGTAGCCTCCAAGAGTACTCCACGTGAGAAAAGCCTGTGCATCTCTTCTCAAATAAAATAAGTGCAACCCAAAAATTCCTCCAAATACCCAACAAAGATATGCCAAAAACACACTTTTATTTGGCTTCCTTTCTTTGGCCATATTTCAATTTTGTTCAATTTACAATTTTCACCACTGAGTTAAAACCTTAACTGAGCAGAAACAGCGATAACACTTCGAAGTTATTCAAAATATTCACTCATGATCGTCGTTTGAAAACGAACCCGAACTTCTTTATCTGTAACAAACTCGATTCTTATCGTTTGTTTATAGAAAAGTCCCCGGGGAAGCACATGATTTTATACTGCCACTACAGCACATTCAAGGGTTTTCAGTTATCTTTTTTTCTTTAAATTGTCCTATCGTTTCGGTTCACTTCGCGCGTGTTCAATTCATATTGAAACGAAGACGTAAGTTCAAGTTCAACGACACGTATTGTGATACTACCTAACGCAGTCCACGTCGTCGTCTGCCGTTGGACAGGTAAACAGGTTACGGTACCTTAAGTATCATCTCTCTCATACGAATGTTACAAACGTTAACCACGCAAAAATTTATATATAAAAATATTAGGTTAATAAAGAGAAAATTTATACCTAATAGGATATAAAAATAGTAATGAATACTTTTTAATCACTTGTTTATGGTTATTATCTTTAGAAAGGCATAATTTTATATAAAGTTGAATTAAAAATGATGATAAATCCTCTAATCCGAAATCGGTGATGGTTGAAACTAAATAAATCCTAAAGAAAAAAACATATTTCATTAAAATATTGTAATGAACATCAATAAAAAACATTAAATTAATAACTATAAATTAAAATTCAAATATTTACTTACCGATCTTAAACTTTGACAACTAACGTCATCTAAAAGAGGTTATATTTTAATCAAGCTTAAATTCAAAGTACCACCATTACATAATAGATGTCACTAAAGAATTAAATTAAACTAGGTATTTTTAAACTAAACTACTTCTAAAATTCATTTAAAAGATTTCTAAAATTGTCATATAATCATTTTCGTATCGTAATTATATAAATTGTAAATTATTTCATGTTATCTAAAAAAATATATTATTTGCTACACGGTCAATTTACTTGTAGTTGTCAAAAAAGGATAAACAAAAATCTGGTGGCAGTACTGCACCGTCGCAGGTTGGGTAAAAGGAGTGTCAAAGAGTGATGTCAGAGATGTTGTGAATGAATTAGTTTCATATGAATAACAATAAAAGAAACGTGCTCGTGCGGTTTGAACACGAATAAATGTAAAAGGAAGAGAAGCCGAAAGTATGTCCCAGAGCACAACGAGCGGAACGTCTTCGCGCAGGCACGTTAGGGACCACGATTCGGCCTCTATAGCCTCTTCTAGATTTGTTGACACCGATTGGGAGGCTAACGAAGTGAGTTTTTTAACTTTTTTTTAATTAAAAATACTCTGATTATCTCATGCAAACTTATAAACAAATAATTGTTTCATTAGTAAACTTTAAGTCATTCTCTTTTTGTAGTTTTTAAGTTTTAGTTTTTATTTATCAAAATCCTTGTTCAACTTCACAAATTATAATTATACGTTCTAACCTCAAAAATTATGTATCTAACTTCAAATCAAATGTATGAAATGTCAAAATGACATTTTTTAACTTCATTACAATTTTAAACTAGAAAATGATATTTAAACGTCAAATTTTTATGCTTTATAACCAATATCCATCCTTGTCTAACTAATTGAATTATACTTATTCCTCCTTTTCATTAACTACAATATGACTTGTAGGTGGCGCTAATGTCCGTTACAGTTTCCTGTAATTACTTTAAAATTTAAAAATATTTGATTTATCATTTTTTAGGCCATGAGACAACGAGAATTAGAAGAAGCTAGAGCGAGGGCGACTCAAATGGAAAAAACGATGCGTTGGTGGTCTGATTGTACGGCAAATTGGCGTGAAAAATGGAGTAAAGTAAGAAATGAACGCAACACAGCCCGCGAAGAAAGTAAACAGCTTCGTTCGAAATTAGACGCCGCTCTAAAAGACACTAATTCAATAAAACGCGAAAAACAAGAAGTAGAAAACCAAAATGAGCAATTAAAAAAGGAAATAGAAAAGATCCACATATTACTTTTAAAACATTCTGGTCAATTTGAAACTCATATTTTAGAAGCTTTGGGTGATGATCCACTGAAAGATTTTGTGTTTAGTTTTAATAATTCTCCTGTAAAAGAAAGAAGTGAGATGAATGGTGTTTCAACGACTCAGGTAGAATGTGATAGTACGGCTACATCTATCATCGATTCTGAAAAGGATTCAACGATAGAGGAGTATATTTTACAAGGGGCAGTTCCTAAGCACGTTTCTGATAGGGATTCGTTAGAGAAACAGAAAAGTCCACACACGACGACTGAAATTTTAAATGGTTTAAATATAAGGGATAGAAGCAGTCATAAAGAAGACGATGAAGAATATGTGATACAAAAATTGTCCATGTTACAGTTGAGATTAGATGAAGCTACGAAAACTTTACAAGCTGAAAGAGAGTAAGTTTTCTGAAGATTCCAAATTGAAGATATTTATTTATCTTGAATATTAATAGTCTTGCTTTTAGCGAAAAACTCGTTCTGCATAGAAACATTGAAAAATTAACTGGAGAATTACAAGAGTTAAAAGAAAAATGTGATGAATTAAGAGATGCAAAACAGGATGCTGTTAGAGAGTTATTACAACTTCAAGATCAACATCAAGAAGAGATCTGTTTGTTAAAATCTGATTTATTAGAAGAATCTAATACAAGGGAGAATTTGGATCGTAGGATAAATGAATTAAGAACAGAAGTAAGTTTTTTATACAACTTATGTTTGTACAAAGTAAGCCTTTGTGAGTAAGCCTTTTGGTTGAGTGAAGAAAAGCAGGTTTTAAAGGTATAAGAATATGATGACTTACTAAAGATAGTAATTTGTTTCAATGTTGGTATTATATACAGTTAAAATGATGAAGATACTTTGTTAACAGCCATTTTGTTGCACTTTTAAACATTATTTTCAAGTGAACATGACTGTTATAACTAGTTGATGAAGATGGTAATGTTGTTACCTATTCTATTTAAGTCGTTCATTGCATTAGTCATTAAATAGAACGCTGTTAATTCTAATTGGAGAGCCATACCGTAAGATCTTAAAAAGATAGACATGTGTTGTTGAACATTTTGCATCAAAATTTCCTCCTTTGCGCTCTGAACCAAGTTTTCCAATGTTTAATAGGGATTTTCTTGAATGCAATGAAAAGTTTCTGATGTTAACTCTTACTGGAGCAGGTGTTTGATATAATATTTTACTCAACTGGAGCAAAGTTTGTAAAGTTTGTTTTTTTTTAGATTCTTTAAGTAAATAATTTTAAAAGGTCATATATAGGTTGAAATCATGATATTTCATCAAAGCATGTATGTAGGAAAGCGGAAAGCTTCATCAAAGCATATACAGTTTTCTAAAAAATTGGAGGTCCACTTTTTGTAACACCACTCCATTTGCATATAACAATAAAATATCCTATATTTATTTTGGACATACTAGTATTCTGTAAATTTTACAAAAAAAAAAAAAAACAATCTTGACAAAAACAAAAATACATTCTTTAATTATTTGACAAGTACTACATAGACCAGCTAGAACAACTCTCCTGAAATCTTTTGCTGTTAATCTATTAGGCAGATTCATTGCTTTATATAGGCAATATGCATTTACCATAGAAGCATCTAGGAAGTAGAAAAATATATGATGAATCGAATATACCGACACTGTGCATGTTAGCGTTATAATCTGTTAACACATTTGGGCTCAATAGTTCCAATATATTTCCATTTTTTTCTCTTCCATTAACTATTGTGCAATCTTCAGGATTGTAATAATTTGATAAAAGGTGTACTGACCTTTTATCTTTCCATTTTACTGCAAATAGTTTTGTATCACTTGTGTACCAGTCGAATTCACCTCTTTGAAAATGCTTGTCCTTTTTAAAATTTTTTAAAATTAGGTAAATATTTTCGAGTCACATTCACTCTTCCAACTGCATACTTATAGGGTAATTCAAATTCGACCCCAACCATTGAGATCTCAGAAACCATAAGAGATACAGAAATAGTTAAATGGGGGCAAAGTTGCGTATCTTAGAGCTCATCATTTTTCAACAAAGTTTTTATATCTAGCTGTTTTAGTTTTTAAAATATGGCCGAAAAAGAAAAAAATGACTTTTTCGTTTTTTGCCTATAACTTCTTTATTTTTCGTTTTTTCGTGAATCTGAAAACACATTCTTAAGACAATTTTTTATGAAAAATGTCATGACACAACTAGAAATTTTCTCTGACGTTTCGTTTTTCGATACATTCAACTTACCTGAACTGATTATCTTGCTCTTTCATATAAAAATAAACAAATAAAAGGTGATTTTTGATAAATGTGTGCTCAATTTGTAGAGACATATACGAACTATGAACATTTAACTTTAAATTCACTGGCTATGCGCTAAACAAGCTTGTTCATGTAATAATGCTGTGATTAGTCATTTACAATGCACTAACGTACGATACAACGATGGTGGTTTAAAATTTTTGCGGCTGCGAAAGTAGAAAAATAATTTTGAATTGTGGGTCTACAAGTCTACATCATAGACCACTGCGTCAATTGAGTGAACATTTAGATGGTTTATTTTTTGTACCACTACAGCGGTAAGAGTTAAATAATATTACCATAAATAACGTAATAAGTACATAGGTTGTAGTATGGATGTTGTTCCAACAGGTATTGCGACAAGTCCCATTTGTAATTCTTTCAGGCGATTTTTTACAGATTCAGTGAGATATCCCCTGAATGAACCAAGGAAAGAATCATGACGGTTTATTTAATAATCTTTCTGGCGTATAACTCCATAGTTGTATTAACCATACATTATTTTTGTTTGCACCCTAACTAAGGCGCCTTTTAGGAAGTATTTCGAGTTCGGAATGGTTTTTCTTTTCAATATTATTAATAATGGCGGCAATTTTCTCACACCATCGGTTGCTGGTTATCTGTTACGCACAATTCTAGTAACCACTCGTTTTTAAAGAAACTTCCCTTACACCTCTTCTTTCCAGCGTGTAATTGACAGTACTGCTAAGGGGTCTTAGATGCGAGTTAGGTTCTTTCAATGAAAACCACAGTTTTTTAAAAAACTTTAAACTTATTTATTTTTACAATAGCGATTGCCACGATACGGAGTTCGTTTGAGAGTTTTCGATATTTCGTTTCGCTACTACTATAAAAGTAGGGAATTCTCTACCATTAACAGTCACTTTTATAACAATCAACTGCTATCATAACGTAAATATGACGATCACGGTTAAACCACGCTTTCGTTATTTGATATATATTCTATATTTCATTATTTCAAATAAATTTGTATTTTGTAATTAACACATTACATTCGATAATTATTATTAATTAACAGGCAAACATAACGTTGTATTTAATGAATAGATCAGCTATAAACTATGGGTAATTTAGCGCCTGACACTAGACAATGGATGTATGGGCCAAAATGGTCTAACACAGTTGTGTAGATACACATTGTAGTTCTCCGATTCACTCCTCATGTTCATACAATAGTCTCGCGCAAAATGATAAGCTTTGAACTATCTTGATTGCTGGAACATTGGTTTAGCAAATATCTCTATTGATGTTCAATATTTATGAATCATTAATTAATCACATACGTGAAACTATTGATTCTTGAATTAATATCCGATATAAATTGACCAATGAAATAATGTCACTGAGGAGACGTTTCTGTCTGATGTAGGCGAGTTTATTTAACATGTTGACTGCTGGGTTGGTCAATATAACCGAATCAATTTTTGACATATGACACACCAGATGTAATTAATATAAATAATAATTTTGTCCATGTAGACCAGGGATGGGCAAACTGTCGATCGCAAACAGTTCGACAGTCGTTCACAGTCATTTTAAATAATTTACTAGGTACATTTCAAATCTTTTAATTTAAAATGTGTACTAAAAATTTAGCAGAAAATTATGACACAGCAACTTTTGTTTTAAAAGCCTATGTATCAATCCAAAATGGCAACTGAAGCATCTTATGTCATGTCATAACATACGTTTTGGAAAAATATAAATAGTCATATGGGGATAGGGAAATTTTTAAGGAAGCTTTTGTTGACGGCAGCGAGAAGTTATTTTCCAACTTTAAAAATAAAAGTGAAATTAAAGATTTCTCTTAAAGTTCTTTCTCGTAAAACCGTAACTCGTCGTATTGAAGATATGAATAAAAATGTAACTCGAGAATTTGAAGATGACATACAAAGTTGCCGTTTCTTTTCGTTGCAGTTTGACGAGTCAACAGATATCGTTGATACTGCATAATTTTTCCGTAAAACAAGAATTTTTAACAATACTTCTGATAAAGGGAACAACGCTAGGTCCAGATAAGATGGCAACTTTTATGCCATTTGCCAAAAAAACAAATTTGCCTTTGCATAATTTGGTTGCTATGTCTACTGACGGAGCAACTTCAAAGATTGGTAGAAATCATGGATTTTTAGCCCTTTGCAAACAAAATGAATAGTTTACTGATTTCATATCCTTTCATATCATAATTCATAATCATGCCTTATGTGCAAAAATATTGGACGTTCAAGATATTATGGATGCAGCAGTGAAAATTGCTAATTCGATAAGAGCGCGAAGTTTAAGGAGGCGTCTATTCCGTAGTCAACTTGAAGACAATGACTCGAAATATGAAGATTTACTTCTTTTTTGTAATGTTAGCTGTCTCAGCCAAGGAATATTTTGGAAAGATTTCTAAATTTTTTGCCTTTCAGGCATTATTGCATTTTTTGTCACACTGGGAGAAAAACATGAACAATTGGCAGATCCAGTAGGTGCAAAAAGAATTACTTTTCTGACGGATTCTATGGGCCACTACAACTGGCTTAATTTACAATTACAAGGAAAAGAAAAAATATTATTGAATTGTTCAGTTCGGTAAATGCTTTTAAAGCAAAATTAAAACTTTTTGATCCCAAGTTAAAAAGGCAAAATTTTAAATATTTTCCATATTTAGAAAAACATATTAAACTTACTGGTAAATGTGACATTGAAATGTTTTGTCCTGAACTGGAAAATTTTAATGAAGAATGTGAGAGACGATTTGCAAATCTCAATAATCTTCAACCTATTTTTGAATTTATTTCATTTCCTTTTGTATAATTCGATCACGAGAATATTTCATCAAATCTAGCTCATACTTTTCAATTGAATTCAGCGGCTCCACAGTTAGAAATTTTAACAATACAATCAGATATAATTGTGAATGCACGTGCAAATAAAAATTATTTTTGGAATTTATTACCAGAAGAAAAATATCTGTTATTGAGATCGGTGGCACTGAGGATATTTACATTTTTTAGCTCCACTTATCTATGTGAAGCAGCTTCTCTTAAATAAAAAACATCAAATCGCTATAGGTATAACGGAGTTCTCTGACTGATGACATACCTAACTTTACAAGACTTGTTGATAAAATAGAATGTCACGCATCTACATCAAAAAATTAATCCAAAATATTTATCAGTCATATTTAGAGTTCAATTGTGTACGGTGTTGTGTTTCTTGTTTGAAATAGTTATTTTCGTGTTTCTCTTGGAAAAATGTTTTGTATTAACTTAGAATTTTGTTTGTTCAGCCTGATTTTTTAATTATTTGACTGTTTGGCTGATGATGACATCTTAGTATGTCGAAACTGGTACCGTATATAAATTTATTTATTAAAAAAACTTTAGAGGTCAAGGACCTCTTGACCTCTAAAGTAGACCTTACTTATTATTACTTATCCCCTAACATTTGTCAATGAAGTACATTGCACAAAATAGTATTTAACGGCAACTAAATAGTATTTAGAAATAGTAGAATAGTAAATAAAAGGAAAAGAACTTAGAAAACTAGAAGAGTAACTCTTCTAGAAATTCAACAACTGTTGCTGAATTGTGTTTGGCGAGATAAGGTTTGCTAAATAGTAACATCTTTTATTACTCATAAGATTCTTTAACATCCTTAGCAAAACTACTAATTAAAAATCAAACAATTAAAACCATGTCCGTTAATCAAATTGTAATTGGATGGTAATTTGGTGAGATATGGTCTGTTCAAAGTATTCTTATAGATATTGTAATGTTCCCAAAATTTATTGTCTCTGAGCAACAAAAAAATACAAACGTCACTTAATTAACACAAAATTGTAAAAGAAAACTGTTGACTCCACTCTCAGGATCACAGCGGGATCATCGCAAAGTAACATTCTTCTAGTAACACTCAACTTCTAGAATCGTTATAAAAATATATAATTCGGGAGATCCGCTATCGGATCTCCCGGATCTGGAAGTTCAAATTCAACTACTCTTGTTTTGTTTTGTTTTCAAACAACCTAAATTTTCTTTTTTTTTTAATCTCCTTAGAATCTGTTTTGATAATGTATTAACGCCATTTGTTGACAATATCATCACAATATCTTTAAGACTTGAAACTTGGAAAACCATGGGGTAACACGATCCTTCTACTCTACTATCCTCTGTTGCCACAATCTATGCCAAGCTTAAAACTGTATATCACTAAGCAGGGCAGAATATTTCAATAATTCGTCGATAATAAACTGACTGAATATTAAAGTTCTTTAATAGACATCCCATAATTGTAGTTTAAAAATACAAAAAAAGGCAAGAATATAATGATCATATCAATCATGACCGGTTCATTAAGCAGACAATGCTCTTTATCCGGACGATCAAGGTCGGTATCTGCTCCTAGAGCAGAAGAAGAAATTCTGGCACGGATGGAACGTAATCCGGGGTCGAGTGTGCTGAGAATATCAGTCGAGCTGATATTCTCGACTTGATTGATGAATTAGTGGTCCTCTTGTTTGGAGAATCCTTCACGAGGAACTGTTTTATCCCTACCATGTACAACGGGTACAGAATTTAAAACCACTTGATATTCAAGCACGTTTAGTTTTTTCCGTTAGCTTCTACGCAATGATGCCGAAGACAACCGTCTTCTTGCCAATATTCTTTTTACTGGTGAGGCCGGATTCACACGGAATGGTGTTGTTAATTTTCACAACATGTATGTTTGGGCCGATGAAAATCCCCATGGAATAATGGAATCTAGACATCACACACGTTTTTCATTAATATTTTGGTTGGGCATTGTAGGCGACAGGTTTTTAGGTCCTGTTGTTTTACCAAACCGATTAACAGGCGCTGATTAGTCTTTTTGACGACATTCCCTTAGACCAAAGGCAACAAATGTGGTTCTAGCATGATGGTGTTCNGATTCGTTTGTGGCTGGTCCGTCATTGCCGGACTCACTTCGTTCGTCCGGCAAACTGTCGGACACGCCACAATTTTAACGGCTCATCTGTCATTAGCGACTCACTGCGTTCGTCGCTAAGCGACAGACCACGCCATAAAAAGCACTGCTTCTCTTCCATATAAAACAATATACTATTAAAGCAAAATTAAAACTTTTTGATCCCAAGTTAAAAAGGCAAAATTTTAAATATTTTCCATATTTAGAAAAACATATTAAACTTACTGGTAAATGTGACATTGAAATGTTTTGTTCTGAACTGGAAAATTTTAATGAAGAATGTGAGAGACGATTTGCAAATCTCAATAATCTTCAACCTATTTTTGAATTTATTTCATTTCCTTTTGTATAATTCGATCACGAGAATATTTCATCAAATCTAGCTCATACTTTTCAATTGAATTCAGCGGCTCCACAGTTAGAAATTTTAACAATACAATCAGATATAATTGTGAATGCACGTGCAAATAAAAATTATTTTTGGAATTTATTACCAGAAGAAAAATATCTGTTATTGAGATCGGTGGCACTGAGGATATTTACATTTTTTAGCTCCACTTATCTATGTGAAGCAGCTTCTCTTAAATAAAAAACATCAAATCGCTATAGGTATAACGGAGTTCTCTGACTGATGACATACCTAACTTTACAAGACTTGTTGATAAAATAGAATGTCACGCATCTACATCAAAAAATTAATCCAAAATATTTATCAATCAGTGGTATTTAGAGTTCAATTGTGTACGGTGTTGTGTTTCTTGTTTGAAATAGTTATTTTCGTGTTTCTCTTGGAAAAATTTTTTGTATTAACTTAGAATTTTGTTTGTTCAGCCTGATTTTTTAATTATTTGACTGTTTGGCTGATGATGACATCTTAGTATGTCGAAACTGGTACCGTATATAAATTTATTTATTAAAAAAACTTTAGAGGTCAAGGACCTCTTGACCTCTAAAGTAGACCTTACTTATTATTACTTATCCCCTAACATTTGTCAATGAAGTACATTGCACAAAATAGTATTTAACGGCAACTAAATAGTATTTAGAAATAGTAGAATAGTAAATAAAAGGAAAAGAACTTAGAAAACTAGAAGAGTAACTCTTCTAGAAATTCAACAACTGTTGCTGAATTGTGTTTGGCGAGATAAGGTTTGCTAAATAGTAACATCTTTTATTACTCATAAGATTCTTTAACATCCTTAGCAAAACTACTAATTAAAAATCAAACAATTAAAACCATGTCCGTTAATCAAATTGTAATTGGATGGTAATTTGGTGAGATATGGTCTGTTCAAAGTATTCTTATAGATATTGTAATGTTCCCAAAATTTATTGTCTCTGAGCAACAAAAAAATACAAACGTCACTTAATTAACACAAAATTGTAAAAGAAAACTGTTGACTCCACTCTCAGGATCACAGCGGGATCATCGCAAAGTAACATTCTTCTAGTAACACTCAACTTCTAGAATCGTTATAAAAATATATAATTCGGGAGATCCGCTATCGGATCTCCCGGATCTGGAAGTTCAAATTCAACTACTCTTGTTTTGTTTTGTTTTCAAACAACCTAAATTTTCTTTTTTTTTTAATCTCCTTAGAATCTGTTTTGATAATGTATTAACGCCATTTGTTGACAATATCATCACAATATCTTTAAGACTTGAAACTTGGAAAACCATGGGGTAACACGATCCTTCTACTCTACTATCCTCTGTTGCCACAATCTATGCCAAGCTTAAAACTGTATATCACTAAGCAGGGCAGAATATTTCAATAATTCGTCGATAATAAACTGACTGAATATTAAAGTTCTTTAATAGACATCCCATAATTGTAGTTTAAAAATACAAAAAAAGGCAAGAATATAATGATCATATCAATCATGACCGGTTCATTAAGCAGACAATGCTCTTTATCCGGACGATCAAGGTCGGTATCTGCTCCTAGAGCAGAAGAAGAAATTCTGGCACGGATGGAACGTAATCCGGGGTCGAGTGTGCTGAGAATATCAGTCGAGCTGATATTCTCGACTTGATTGATGAATTAGTGGTCCTCTTGTTTGGAGAATCCTTCACGAGGAACTGTTTTATCCCTACCATGTACAACGGGTACAGAATTTAAAACCACTTGATATTCAAGCACGTTTAGTTTTTTCCGTTAGCTTCTACGCAATGATGCCGAAGACAACCGTCTTCTTGCCAATATTCTTTTTACTGGTGAGGCCGGATTCACACGGAATGGTGTTGTTAATTTTCACAACATGTATGTTTGGGCCGATGAAAATCCCCATGGAATAATGGAATCTAGACATCACACACGTTTTTCATTAATATTTTGGTTGGGCATTGTAGGCGACAGGTTTTTAGGTCCTGTTGTTTTACCAAACCGATTAACAGGCGCTGATTAGTCTTTTTGACGACATTCCCTTAGACCAAAGGCAACAAATGTGGTTCTAGCATGATGGTGTTCCGCCTGAATTTCGATTGCGGTTAGAGAACATTTAAAACAAACTTTTCCACATAAATGGGTAGGAAGAGGTGGACCTGTACTATGGCCTACAAGATCGCTTGACATAAACCTTCGACTTCTTTTTCTGGGGATATTTGAAAACATTAGTCTATGGTGGTACTGTGAATACTCTCGAGAAGCTGCAGCTACGAATTAATCAACAATGCCAACAAATTGGAGCCAATGAGGAGATTTTAGAAACAGTTCTATCATCCTTCAGACGAAGATGTACCTGTTAGGATATGGAAGGAGGGCATTTTGAAGATCATATTTAAATTTATTCTTTGTCTTTGTTAGAAACTTCTATTATTTGTTTGTTCATAATAAAATATTAAACAATTTTTTTTATAAATAAAATAAATATATAAAATTTTATTAAGACTTTTTTTGTTTATTTTGGTCCATACTATTACCTCTTTAAATGTTTTATATTCTTTTTTTAACACCTTGTATATAAAAATTATAATAAGATAAAATATAATATTGCCAAAAAGTATGATCAATACAAATTATATATGAACGAAATTGATCTTATGTTATATTTATACTCCTATATTTTACTTTCATATTAGTTAGAACGACTACAAGCTGAAAATGCTGCTGAATGGGGTAAAAGAGAACGATTAGAAACTGAAAAATTAGCTCTTGAAAGAGATAATAAAAAATTACGTTCGGAATTACGTGATATGCAAGAAAGACTAGAACGAAAAGGACGGCCTATATCTAATTCTGATGCTGAATTAAGACATTTACAACAAGAAATTTCAGATAAAACTAAGGTAATAAATAAATATAATTATTTTTTTTAATATACCATTATACTTTTTAGGAAATCACTGACTTAAAACATACGCAAACGAAATTAAAGAAAATGGTACAAGATAAAATGACTGAATTAGCACATGCAGTAAGAAGAGCTGAACAATATGAATCGGAAGTAAAAAAATTAAGAACTCGAGTTGAGGAATTAAAACGAGACTTAACGATTGCCGAAGACGAATTAGATTCGTCGACGAATACGATTAGGAAACTTCAAAGGGGTAATGATGAGCTTCAAGAACAGGTCGATAATTTCCAAGTACAGTTACAACATCTACACACAAGGTACGACTTTTTTAAATATATTTCATTTTTCTCTTTGGTTATGGTGCTTTTATGTTTCTTTAAAATGAAAAAAAATCTTGCTCTACCTTGTTTATTTCTTGTTCTGCTTTAACTTCTAAGCGAGGAGAAAATGGATGGTGGCGAGGAAATGGCAGTTCTAGAGGATAGCGATGGTGTAAGTGTTGATCTTTTTCAACTTTATGTTGTTTTGTTTGTTGGGGACTTTGAAATGTCTATTCTTTTCAATAATCAATGCTTGACCAATCTTTGTATTATATATCCTATATATATATTTACGCGGGATTTTGTGTAGGTCTATCCATTACTTTTAAGATCTCAATTGTCAAGTGATTATAGCTGTTGATAAGATGCTGCATGATGTCTTCTTCCTGCATATGCATGAAGTTATTTAATAGTAAGTAATTTTGGCTTTATTGATATGGGTGTAGATGGTAGGGAAGCAATGTAGGTGTAAAATAGTATTAATAAAATAAGTGTGTTGTTGATGATGACTCTATGGAATTCCTTATATGGTGCGTCCGTAAAGTAAGTGATATAGGCGCTAAAATCGTTATAAATTGTTTATGGAAAAATTAAACGGGTCTAAAGATTTAAATTTTATGCAATGTTTTTGTGTACATTTTAGATTTTTTTCGCCATTTTTAAATGAGTTGTGACGTAATCAATTTTTTTTTAATGAACTGAGAAAGTTTAACTTAAATCGTTTGTTAAGTAAGGTTCCTAATAAATAAAATTGATTGTGTAACCTCTAGGTATAAATGCTTATTTAAAAGAAAATCAAATATTTTTGTTTGTTTCAATTCTAGTGTGAGAAATGATTCATCGAAGAACATTTCAACATTAGCAAAGCTATTAAGAATATGTTGTAGAGCATTATGTTTTTGCAAGAAATTGCGAATGTTGCAGATGTTTTGTTCTAACTCTGTAATTATTGGTTCTGGCAGATGTTATCTTGATTACCTGTACCGACGGCGTGTTCTTTATGCTCACTATTATTGTTTTCGACTTAAACTTGTACTGATGTAATAATTTCTTCGTCGGTTAAGACCTATCTGCAAATTACGTCGTCATCAATACGTACATATTCTTCAAATTTGTTGTCCAGTATTACATTACTTAAATCAGACACTACTTCAACTGCATTCTTGTCACGGGTATTATTTCTAGCTGGGGTTTCTTCTAACCAAATATTTAACGGAAGTTCTACCACGCTACGTGAATAACGTTCACCACAATCAAAAGATTTCGCGAAAATTTTGATGACCATCTTCAATCTGCGGTACATTTTTGCAAGAAGAATACGCCTATAGTTGCTCTTCAAACGTAGATCTAACTGGTGCAGTCTTGAAGTGGTGTTAGGGGGCATGAATACTAGTTTGATGAAATTACTAATTCAAAATACTAGCTCAATCCTACTGCGATTTCAATGAAATTCTCCCTCTTGCATCGAACTTCCAAGTTCGTCAGCTTTACTTTGAGGCAGATTACCCGTAATTGTAACATTATATGCCCTTGTTTGAGAAAACCACTTAAGCAATCCTGAGTCAAATTCATCACGATTTGATTTTCGAATTCTTTTAGCTGCGGAATTTGATCATTCGTAACTATCCACTATTTTGTCTCTTACATTCCAAATCGCGCCCACAGTCGATTTAAGTAGATTAATTTCCCTGCATAATGTACTTTGTTTCTTTCCACTCGACTGCTAGATTATTTCATACTTCGTTTTTAACGTAAAGCTCTTTCGTTTTTCTGTTACTTCGATACCATTTGAATTCGCCATTGTAAAAACCAACAGAGTTAAAGAGTCAGCGCCTTTTTAAGATTCGAATAATGACACTTCCAAGTTTGCGCATCGATGTACGATTCGATTTTTGGGTATTCCTCGTACTTTTCATGTCAAATTACCCTATATAAGCGGTAAGTTTACACCTTTACTGCGTTTAAAATGGTCAATTATAAGCGAAAGGTCATTCTAGCTGGGTTCATTATACCCGGAAAAGATTAACACTTAGCTTATGGAATTTATTTATTGCCTCTTGCAATGGTTCACAATAATCGGAAGTTCGTTATAAACGAGTTCATTATAAGTGAACATTATTGTATATTCGAATTAGTGAAAAAAACAAATTTCCTGTAGAAATAATTAATAAATTGTCCAAAAAATACTAAGATAGTAGCCACTAAGGAAATTTTTTCAAAATATAACATGAATTTAGCTTATTCCATAGTACTGTTATACTATTCTTGTTAAACAGTTGTCTAATTACTATTTTAATAATTAAATATAAGCATTTATATAGGAAAGACGGGCCGAAGACTGGAAAGTAAAATGATGAAACACAAGAATAGAAATAATTCTAACGCTTACTAGCACAGAACCGAAAACAGGTCACGAAACAGACTACAAAAATGTTAAACTTCTACACAAATTTATAAAGGCTTTAAATTACACTTTTTAGAGGCTTTTGAACAACAAAAATGGCAAAAATAATAAGTGCACCCTTTAAGAATTTAAATCACATCTGTTTTTAAATGTTTGAAAGACTTCTAAGAATAGATTGATTTAAGAATGTATTGATATTTTCACTACTTTAATTTCGTAAAATTTTTTTCTTTCAAACTTTTTTCGAATGCGATGAACTCAGTCTCTAAATGTATTATCTCGTATCATCTACTATTTTTATCTTGTTTTTAAGTTTTAACATCATTTTAAGACCACTCTTGTAACATGGATATTATCAATGTTAAGTTAAATGTTCAAGTTATGTATTCTGCGCAACTTGGCAATAAGCTATACAATTTTTGAATTCTTTCTAACAATTTCCTAAGATATCAGGAGTTATTTGCTTCACCTCGGATTCTAATTTTATGTTCATCATAAATCATCATAAGCAAAGTAACTCTTTGCTTATAAAGAGGGAATCATCTTATAAAATGGCTTACAGAATCGCACAATCGTATAAGAACTTATTTCACTGTGCATTTGTGCGATAATAATTAGTTAGAAAATACAACATATTGTCGGCTTAGTAAGCCACGTAACTCTAATTTTTACCAAAAATAAGATTTTGATGTAATTATGCAACAAATCATTAAATCTACAATTCCGAAAACTGTGCGTATATTGAAATACAAGTTTCCGCCCAAATGCTTAAAATGAAAAGCACTTAACACTACTGTCAAATTTAAAAAAATCCAGTTTTTTCTGTCTCCTGTAAAATTTTCCGAAACGGAGTTGCTTTCTTCTATAATAGCTGTCAAATTGTTGTTAAGTTGGCAAAAGGCAAAGGAATTATCTTATGTCATATTTTGAAATCATTTTGAGTCAAACTAATGTTTCAAATTTCAGCCTTTGATTTTATATTTATACACTAATAATTGAAATTAAATTAATATTTAAGTTCAACTACCTTGTTACTGAAAATATTTCTAGAAATCAGAAAACCAACATATGTTTTATAAAGATCCTAGATAATACCAACAGACACCGTAAAAATTTGATTTTGACAGGTATTACAGAAAAAAAAAAACTTTTATGTGGTGTATTTAACTATCATGAGCTTTCTAGAGACATCAATCTGCCATTAATGATGAACTAGAAATTGAAAAGGAGATTGTAAAGCGATTTGATAGACTAGAGCAACACCCATCTGTGGTAATTGCAATCGCACTAGATCTAGATCCGCGTTTTAAACTGATTCATTTTAGAGATGTGACTGCTAAAGTTAAAGTCTTCAGTTATATAAGCAATTACGCAAACAGTATGCGAACAACGGTTTTAAGATCTGAGTTTTCTGACGAATCTAAAAACGATGAAAACATGGAACGTGACAAAGAATTAACATATAAAAACATAATAAATAGAACTACCGACAAAATCAAACTTGATTCAGAATTCCATATGTTTATATCATCATCAGTTACTCTTATCAAAGGAGATGCAATAGCAATGTGGGTTGACATGCGACCTTTATTTCCATGTTTGTATAAAATAACAATGAAATATTTGCCATTCGTAGCAACTTCGGTGCCCAGTGAACAATCATTCTCAATAGCTATGTATTTGGTTTTTTGGTGTAAACTTTACTCTTCAGATATCTCCAAATGAAGAAGTCCGGCGGAGTCAAATCTTCCAGACCACTCTATTGGCTCTCTTCAGCCAATCTATCGATTGGGAAATAGTTGGTTTAAATGAGGTCGGATAGGAACGGCATAGTGTGATGGCATGCTATATTTTTCAAATTGAGTTGGGTCAACATTATCGGGAAATCTGGCAGTTGTGGAAGCTCATTCGTTCCGTCGTAAAAAATTTAAACATCTAGTTAAGGTTCCCTCAAAAAAGTATGGGGCCAGGATAGGATCATTTACTAGTACGACATGCGGATCTTCTGCTATTAAATGTTGTTCTGTCGGAAAAAATTATGTTTTTGACGTCTTTGCAAAATTGTTGCAACTGCTCACAAAATTGCGTTCTTCTATCAAAATCATCATTGAGCTCGTGAGTGAGGTTTACTTTATAGGGATGATATTTTGCGGTTTTTAACATTTTGTGAACAGTTGATGTACTGATGGATCGAATGTTTGTATTCATTTAAATATTGTCATTTGAAACAGCTAGCCAACAACAGATGGCGTCAGTCCGTGTATGTCTACTATATATATAGAAAGTTTATGAAACAATAAGCTTTACTGAATCAGTTTTTGGCTATTAAGAAATTCAATCAAATAAATAAAACAACTATGTTTTTGAGATGGATAATTTTAATAATATTTTATAATTTAATAGTTACTCATACTATTTAAATTTTTAGATCCGTTTCAGGGATTTTTTTCATAAACCGTTTATAATGATTTTATTGCCTATCCTATATCCTCTACTTTATGGACGTACTGTATATTTGAATAACTACAGAGAATTTGAAAACAATTATAAAGCTGATTAAATAAGACAACTTATTCTTTGAAGGAATATTTTATCTAATTTGATTAACTTCATATCTCACTGTTTTCAAATTCCCCATATAGAGCCAATCAGGTATAATAACTTTTATATAACTTTAATGTTTTGAATATTTTCTGTGTAATAGGTTGCGTAATAGCAGTTCCTCAAATTTGCTGTCCCATCGTGGTACAATTTTAAATGAAGACGTTAGTGATGAAGAGATTAATTAATTTTAAAATAATTTAAGCGATTGAGTTGTGATGGTTACTTTTAGTTTATAATCATTGCAGGCTTCTGATACTAAAAAAGTAACTTAGGATTTAAGATCATACCATTCCTTGATGTTCTCTTAAGTTTTTTATACTAAACTACATCTACTCACTGCCTATTTACTGCTTTTAGTATCATTTAGTTTAGAAATTCATTCTAGGTAGGTTCTTATTCTTATTTATATGAACTTTTATCTATTTCTTATGCAAATTATCGGATACCTGCAAAGCCTAAAGATGTACATTTAATTTATTAATTTATTTATATTAACTGTAAATAAAAAAAGTTACTTACCAAGTACCTACGAATATTACGATAGATAATGAGCTATTTATTTTTGTAATTGTGAACTGGTTGATTCGTCAGTCTGACTTTAAAAATTTCTAACGACTGAGTTTTTACTTATATGTATCTACTTTTCTTATTGACTTTTTTACACAATCTCTATAAAATGCAATTATTTAATCAACGTTTACATTTGTTTATATAAGACTTTTATTGTATAAAGACGAGTAACATCAATAAACATTCAAATAACAATTATTTTTATCAATTATATATTAATTATAAACAGAAATAAATATCCATTTATGTAAAAACCAAACAAATAACTTCAACTAAAAAGATACGACCTAACATTTTATTGGGGAGCCATCTGGATTTGTTTTAGGTTTAGGTAAACAAATTTTCTTTCCATTATTGTATACGCAAGTATTTGTAAAGTAACCACAAGTTGATGTTTGAGTATAGTAAACAGATGGTACTTTTTTTCCTGTGTGTGGACTTTGATAACCATTTTCCGTTTTTGCAACTGAAACAAATTTGGGGTACGAATCTCCGCTTCTTACATGATATTGTGCGGGTTGATAGGTGTAACTAGTACCATACCCAAATCCATCATTTCGTAATTGACTTTTTGATTGTACAGTATACACGGGTTTCTTATAAGTTATTTTTCCTGCTCCGGGCGATAAATTCACGCTTTGTGCATGAGAATTTGGTCCTTGAGCTTCTGTTCGATCACCAGACATTGAAGAAGTCACTTTTCCTCTGAACCCTTGAGGAATTCGCATTCCAGGAGACCCAGGAATGAGTTGACCTGGTTGAAGAACTGTACCTACAGGTAATTTATTACCACGGTCTTGAATCACGGTTGCATCAAGATCTTCTAAAGGATCTAACACTATCTGCTGGTTTTGCGAATGATTTTCTTGTTTAATTAAAGTTCTTGTGTTAACACCTGGACTAGGTTCCATTGTTTCTTCATAATCGGCTTCGTCATAGTCATATTCTTCTTCATCTGTGGTTCTTTCATTATGAGTGTTTCCAGCTCTTGTTTTGGGTGGTGAAGTGGTGGTCTCCATCTCAGTCTCTTCCTCTTCTGATTCCTCCACTTTATTTACATTAATAGAACTTGTATGAGTATTCGTAGACGGTGGTTGATTATCAAAATTAAGTCCTGGAGGTTTTGATTGAGTGGTAGCTACAGTTGCATTACTTCCGGACGCTGCCTGAGCAGCACCTGTGTATCGAATTCCCATAGCGAATTTTCCTTGTATTTGTGCTTGAGATTGTCCTGTATAAGCACCACCTTGAGCGCTTGCTGATCCACCTCCTTTAAAGGGCGTTTTCTGATTATCTTTTTCGTTTTTATCATAAGGCATAAATCCAATTTGAGCTTGTGACGAAGTACTTCCTGGGCCATTGGCTTGCGAGTCAGCCATTCCACCTTTTTCACTAGCTTGTACTTGTGTGTTTGTACCGTGTTTAATTCCTCCACTTTGCGCGCTTGAACTTGTTTCGCCAGTAGCAGAAGCGACTTGTACTTGCGCTTGGGACTGTGATGCACCACCACTTCCCTGTGAAGAACTCATTGCTCCTTGCTTTCCTCCAGAAACTGAAGTTTGTGAACCTCTTTTACCATCTATAGTACCGGCGGAAGCACTAAACGAACCACTACCTGAGTAAATACCAGAAACTTGAGATTGAGCAGTACCTCCTTGATAGGTTCCTTGTGCAGACGCTGAAGCTTGGGTTTCGTTAGCTACTTGTTGCACGGAACTCTCTGCCTGCGATTGTCCATCATCTCTTGTTAGACTTTCAGCTGTTTCTTCACTTTTTCTGTAATCACTTGGTCTTCCAAATTCATCTACTACTCCTGACGGTTGCCCTGGTGTGTATCCTTGTCCACCCGGTTTCGTACTTGGAATACCCGGACCATAATAACCGGGACCTCCTGATTCTGGTGTGTATGGACTTGGTAATCCCGAACTGGGTATTTGTTGCCCTGGTACGTATTGACCAGGTATTGTGGCTCCCGGGCCATATTGTATACCGGGAGGCATTTGTCCGGTGGGATATTGATGTGGAACACCTGGTATAGAAGGATATTGAGTTGGGGAAGTAGGTGCAGGTCCAGAGGGATATTGACTTGGTGGACTGATACCTGGCGTCGAAGGATATTGACTTGGTGGACTGATACCTGGCGCCGAGGGATATTGACTTGGCGGACTGATGCCTGTTCCCGGGGAATATTGACTTGATGGGCCTATTCCCGTCCCATATGGATATTGACTTGATGGATCAATGCCTGACCCCGAAGGATATTGACTTGATGGGTGAATTTCCGTTCCATATGGATATTGACCTGACGGATCAACACCTGGTCCATATGGTATTCCCGGTTGATATTGTCCTGGAATATATTGTGAACCATCACTTGTATATTGGCCAGGAATATGCGTTCCCGGTTGTCCTGGTAATCTAGAAATTTCGGTGCTTGGAATTTGTTGACCAGGAATTCCTCCGCTTGGAACGTATTGACTTGGTATTCCAGGCGTTGTTGCGGAAGGTGTATAGTGTCCTGGAAGATGCGGTGTTCCTATTCCTGGAATATGTTGTCCATGTCCTTCTCTGCCAGGAATATATTGACCTGGTAATTCTGAGGTACCCGTGCTAGGAATGTGACCGGGATATTGTGCTGGAAATCCGGGTGGTTGTACACCTGGAATATATTGACCTGGTAATCCTGTTCCGGGTAAGCCTGGTGGTGCAGTACCAGGTATAGCCTGCCCTTGTGATGGTGGATAATAACCAGATATTCCAGATGTTCCTGCAGTAGAAACAGGCGGACCTTGTGGAAATTGTCCAATTTCTGGTGTATATTGCCCTGGAATTCCTGCACCGGGCAAGTATTGTTCATACAAATGTTGTCCAGGTTTTCGACCTTCTGGCACGTACTGTCCAGATACTCCTGAAGGTCCCATAGGTGTACTTGGCTGTCTCACATACGGCTCTGGTGCGGTTACATCTCTGTGATGATCGTAAGTACCAGAAAATTGACCAGCGAACGTTCCATTCCTACCCACATGAGATCCATAATCTCCAGAAAACTGTCCCGAAAATCGACCATCAGGTGTTGCTTGTTGTTGGTCGGAGATTCTCGATGTATCTGCTTGTTGGTGTGAATCATATCTTCCATGAAATTGTCCGCTAAACGTTCCACCCGTTGTGGAACTGTGTGCAGGTAGACGTGTATCTACAACTTGAGAATAAGGTATTCGTGGTATTGAAGGTGTTCCGGGTATATAGTGACTAGATGGTGTTCCTGGTCCGAAACCGGGTGCTCCTGGTACAGCTGGTGTTGCAGCTGGAATTTTCGATACGTAAGGGCCTGTAGGAATTCCTGGTTGATAAGTAGGGCCTGTAGAAATTCCTGGTTGATAAGTAGGGGCTCCTGGAATCCCTGGTTGATAACTAGGTCCTCCAGGGGTTCCTGGTTGATAAGAGGCTCCTCCAGGAATCCCTGGTTGATAAGAGGCTCCTCCAGGAATCCCTGGTTGATAAGTAGGGGCACCAGATGTTCCAGGTTGGTAAGCAGGTGTTGCAGAGATTCCCGGGTGGTAAATGCTACCTCCAGGAATTCCTGGTTGGTAACTAGGTAGGCCAGGGATTCCTGGTGGATAAGATGGTCTTCCAGGGGTTCCCGGTTGATAGGGGGGGCCATCAGGACTTCCTGGTTGATAGGAGGGTCCTCCAGGAGTCCCTGGTTGGTATGTAGGGGCTCCTGGTGCGCCTGGTAGATAAGCGGGTGCTCCAGGAGTCGCTGGTTGATAAGTTGGGACACCAGGAGTTCCTGGTTGATATATAGCAGCTCCAGGAATTCCTGGTTGATAAGTTGGTCCTCCAGGAGTTCCTGGAGGATAAGTAGGAGCTCCAGGTTGATAAGTAGGTCGTCCAGGAGTTCCTGGTTGATAACTAGGTCCGCCAGGAATTCCTGGCTGATAACTAGGTTCTCCAGGAATTCGTGGTTGATAAGTAGGGCCTCCAGGAATCCCTGGTGGATGAATCGGTCCTCCGGGAGTCCCTGGTTGATAAGAAGGAGTCCCAGGTGTGCCAGGTTGATAAGTAGGTCCTCCAGGAATGCCTGGTTGATAACTAGGGCCTCCAGGAATCTCTGGTGGATAAATCGGTCCTCCGGGAGTCCCTGGTTGATAAGAAGGAGTCCCAGGTGTGCCAGGTTGATAAGTAGGTCCTCCAGGAATGCCTGGTTGATAACTAGGGCCTCCAGGAATCTCTGGTGGATAAATCGGTCCTCCGGGAGTCCCGGGTTGATAGGAAGGAATTCCAAGTGTGCCAGGTTGATAAGTAGGTCCTCCAGGAATGCCTGGTTGATAACTAGGTCCTCCAGGAATTCCTGGCTGATAACTAGGTCCACCAGAAATTCCTGGTTGATAACTAGGTCCTCCAGTAATTCCTGGTTGGTAACTAAGACCTCCAGGAGCGCCTGGTTGATAAAATGGTCTTCCAGGAGTTCCTGGTTGATAAGAGGGTCCTCCAGGTGTCCCTGGCTGGTATTGAGGGGCTCCTGGTGTTCCTGGTTGATAACTAGGTCCTCTTGGTTGAAAGCTTCCAGGGGTTCCAGGTTTATATATATGATCTCCTGGTGGCCCTGATGGATAACTTGGTCCTCCTGGTTGATAACCCTGCCCTCCTGGAACACCTGGTTGGTAAGTTGCTCCTCCTGGTATCCCCGGCCGATGACCAGTCTGTCCTGGTTGGTATCCAGGCCCGCCTGGTATTCCTGGCTGATAGCTAGGTCTCCCTAAAATATATATGTTCTTATTGTAATAGCATGTTATGTTTCATATAGTATTGATTAAGCTAACGATTGCAAGGTATTTGTGGCAGTCGTTATTATCTATTTAATTTTTTTCATAGCTTGTAGCGAAACACACTGTAAAGCTAGTAATGTGGAAGGACATCATAGTACTTATCAAAGAAAAAGATTGAAAAGTCTATTTCAAACAATCCTTCATATGGCATACAAAATTCCAACTAAAAAGTGGCATTAAAGATATCAAAACTATAAAAGCTTCTGGCCGAAAATTTATGTACTGTTGATTAGTATTATTTTGGGCTATAAGTTCATTATTATGGCTTGGTAGAGTGTGAGAAGAAGATGATTTCTTGAAAGAGAATTCTCTTTTCAAATATATTCGAAGTTAGTTATCGAAAAGACGGTGATATGATGGTGTCAAAGACCGGTTTGTGGGCCAACTTCTGATACATTTCACACACGCATTATATTTGTCAATAATAATCGAGGTAGAAATAAGAAATCGATGGAAGAAAGAATAAACTAGAATAGCTTGTTTTTAATGTTAACTATTTAAAAAATATTAATATAAATATATTCTTGGCCTCAGTTTGGAAAAGCTGATTTAGGTGACTCTGAAGAATGAACTATCAAAATACATACCTGGACCACCAGGTATTCCAGAAATATATTGTTCTCCTGGTAAACTTATTCTACCAGGTATCTGAGGTCCCGATATGGTACCTGGTACTCCGGGTGTGAATCTTCCCGGTGTTCCAGGAGTACCTGGTTGATCAGTTCTATAAATATCTGGTCCCATAGGAAATCCTGGAGATTTTCCTGGTGTACCAGGAATATATTCTGTTCCTGGTTTAGTGACGATTGTTCCACTTGGAAGAGGTGGTCGACCTCCTGGCGTCCCTGAAATATAAGGTCCCATTGGAATTCCTAATATAACAATTCAAATCAATTTAAAAAGTTTAATGAATATTGCCATTTAATTTATCACCTGGCTTATCTCCTGGTTTTCTTATTGTCTCAGGTTTGAATTGCATCTCTGCTGTGGGTCGACCATAAGGTTGATCAAAACATTGTGAACAATCAAGTCCAACACTTTGACTTTGTGCTTGTCCCATTCCATTACTTCCACCTAATAAATAAAAAACAATTAAAATCAGCTTTTCACAAATATTTTATTTACATACTAACGACTGCTCTTGAAGACCCATACGATGATTCAGCCTCTGCCACTCCTTTATCTCCTTTTCCAAAATTAAGATATTGCGATTGCGTTTGTCCCCGAATCGGTCCATAATTTCCATTCGCTCTTTTAAATCTTGTTTTACGTTCATAATTAATTGATGGAGAAACAAAAATTATCAAGGAGTCGTGACATATTTCTTTTAAATGTGAAGAATTAAATACGTATTCCTGAGTAAGTGTTTTTATGTAACATATTCTCTTTTGTGTATCTTTGTGTATACTAAATCCCTAAAAAATATATTTTTTTAATTTATTTTAAATTAAATTTTATTTAATCTTACAATATCTTTATCTACATATTCAAGGAGCTGACTTTCGTTTTCGTAGTACCCAGTACCCTGCAATAAAGACAACACGTCGCTATCTTATACGTAATAAAACAAGGAAGTTTGTTCTTAATATTGAGGAATTTAATTGACCTCGGTGACATATTAAGATAACAGGAAGCATAGTTTTCTAGATTCATTCTTTTCGATTTTGACCTAATTCTCTTTAAAAATATTCTTCAATTTATTTAAATTGACTTTATTAATTTTTTTTTTAATTCTTACCTTAATGTGGTTAAAGTTTAAAAATAACACTAATGCTAATACTAAGTATTCCATTGATATGGATGACGATTTCGTTTAAAAAAATTGTTATTCACTCACTAAAGTATACATTTGTTTCGATTAATCACTACTTTAAAGTTAGAAATTAAAATTTAATCTACATCAATTTGCAACAAAGTAGGTGTTCTGCACAGCTTATTTAAGCAGAGATCTATTAATGAATGAATGAGAACAATGCTAAACAGTTTCGTCCTCATTTTTTTTTAGTAGGAGTACGATTTTTGGAGTAAAGGTCACATTGATAGCTTTTACTACTTTGATATTATGATGTATTGTGTAATATAAAGACCCAAGACATTTTTTTAAATTATTACAATAAAGTTTATTACTTCAAAATTACAAATACGTAAAAATTATGTAATTCAATCAGTTGGGAAGTAAGTTGAGAAGTTCAATTTATATCAGAATCAGTGTAAACTGTTCTAAATTTAACCTTAAAAAAATAAAAACTTGTATCAAATTATAATTGAGGCGGTCAGATGCAAAGGGATGTAAGTGATAAAATTGCGATTTAGAGATAATGAACTCCAAAGTTAAAATACTTCAGACCAATCAAGAGCAATGGAAAATGTGATCTGAATACTCTACTTGTTTGGACTGTATGTATTCAGTTCAGGTTTCAGTATAATTGACTTTTTAATTTTTTGATTTACAGGGAGTTTATCTCAAGGCTGCTTTCAATTGTACCTCTTTGCTTCCAAAAATGTTATTTGCTACTAGACTATATTTTAATTTAGATTGTGGAGCATCAATTTCTGGATCTAGATCATTCCTGTTATTATTATTTGGTACAATATTTTCAATTTTGGAACCCGTATGTTTTATTGAGTTATAGAAGTCATAGTGGATAGGTGGTGTAAATTCAAGTAGTTGTTGAAGATTTTAATATTTGGCAGTTTTTATTGATAGTGACTCGGGATACAGTGGTGTGTTAACTGATATTGTGCAGGTGTGCGACCTATTTTTTTTTTAATCAATCTTTGCAAAACCTATTTTCTCGTGTAGACTTTCTTTATAAAAAATAGTGCCTTTTTCCAAATGGAATCATTAAATTTTACGACCGGGCACATTATTTATTTATTTATTTACAATTTATGGGTACAGAAACAGGGCAAACCCAAATGATCTGTACCACAAAAAAAAATTTACAATAAAAAAAAGAAAACGTGTACCAAGGAAAAATGTATAAACCAATAAATAAAAATTATCAAAATTAAGGCGAGCAATAAAAATAAAATTAAACATGAAATGAAACTTAAACTAAAAACATCGGAAATTCAAATATTAATATTAATATTATAATATTAATTAATTATAATATTGTATTAATAAATATATACAAAAAAAATAAAATAAAATAAAACAATAATAATAATTTAATAATACAATAAAGCAAAAAAGCCAAAAAATAAAGTAAAGTAAAACAATGCCCAACAGTAATTAGGCATTGTTTCATCTAACAGTAACGGCGAAATTAAACATTACACAAAAACAGAACCAACGAGCTACCAAAACGTAGGAGGCATTTCGCTGACTGCATTAAAAAGTAAGCGCCTAAACGTAAAAAATGAATGCTGAAACAAATCAATATCGAGCTTATCAGTATGGCGAGCCATTCGCAACATAGGAGAGTTTCGAAAAGCATTGGTGCGCGCAATAGGGATACAGAACAAGAAATTAAAGCGAAGAAGACAGGGAGGTACATGAATATTGACCGAATTCAAAAGAACTGTTGAATCATACATATTGTGTAAAACCTTGTAGAAGAATAATACGTCGTTACACAGGCGACGCTGTCGAAGGGGCATTAACCGAAAAGATCTGTAAGACGAATGATAATTAATATAAGGTATGGAAGATTTAAAGTTTAGATATTTCAAAAATCTAGATCGGATTTTTTCAATTCGGTCAATATAAATAAGGTATTGGGGATTCCAAACTACAGTGCAAAAATTAAGAATACTGTAAACATATGCGAAATATAAATTTTTAAACGCGCCAACGCTTACAAATGAAGAGGTGGATCTCATAATGAAACCGAGCAAGCCTTATTAACAGTAGTGTCAATGTGCTGTGCGTAGAGAAGCTTGGAATCGAGAGTCACTCCAAGGTCTCTAATAAAGGAAACACTTGTTATGTTTTCGCCAGCGATGTTGTAATCGTAATGAACAGTATTCTTCCTTCTCGAAAAAGAAATAACATTACATTTAGACAGATTTAGAGTCAAGTGGTTTTTAGTGCAAAAGTCAGAAATCCTGAGAAGGTCAGTCTGCAGTTTAGAGCAGTCCACCGGAGAAGAGATACGCAGATAAAGCTTGAGATCATCTGCGTACATTAGACATTCACAATGCTTCACAACCTTGAAAATATCGTTAACATAAAGATTAAATAGCAAAGGTCCGAGGTGGCTACCTTGAGGGACACCCGAGGGAACTGACATAGGGTCAGAGCAATATCCGTTAACAGACACAATCATTATCTTTTAAAACTTTTTTAAATACAAACTGCTGGTTCTTTTTGTCTTTTCAATCAGTCTTTGTCACACTCCTTAAAGGAGTGACCAGAAACCAAAAGTTTGTAATCTACTGAATGTATAGATGCGGTTTGAATAATATGTCCCCAGTTCTTTATGATATTATGGTTTCTATTTTATCCATCCGCATTATCGCTAAATGCTATAATATGTTTGATACTGTTGGGAAGTTGCTGAGTAAACAGGATCTAATTTCCAGAGATCCTCTGGATGCTTGACCTTCATGCCACATAAACGTTGCCGCCTAATTGCTAACAAGATCATTTACAGCGAAATTGTGTCCAAATTTGCTATAGATAATAAATTTAATATAAGTTTTTTGTACAATCTCAATCAACTTATTACTTGAAATCATAAAAATCCTCAATTAATGTTTGCAATAATATATTGCACTGACACGCAAGTTAACCTTTGCTTGGTAACAAAGTTTTATGATTTCCTATCTTTACGAGTTATATTTGGGCGATTACACAAAAAAATCTGCAATAAGCTCAAAATTGCAAAGAGTATTCGATGATTAGCTTTAGGAATGTTACGAATTGTTACTAGCTTTACGAATCTTCTTATATTTCCACCTATCCTTTTAACCTGCCACGTTGCAGTATTACGAGATAATTATAGATATTTAATTGTAGCAACAATTTCCCCTTTTTTCTTAAGATCATAAGAATTTAGCCCGCCTCTTCAATATCCATTATTCATTTCTCTGGAAAATAGGTTACGTTTTTTTTTTTATTTTTGCTTTATAATTGGAACTTATTGCGAGTACTGTGGTTTGCTTTTGAACTATGCTACTAAATTTTAAAAATTTATTACAGGATTGCGTTAAGTTTGCATTACGTTGTTGTCATTTATAATTGATAACTATTCATTTCGAGATCAAATTGTTGGTTTAGAAAGCTCTTTAAGAAAGTAGATTTTTTACAAGATACATTGCTCTAATACGGCGGGATTTGTGCCTTTTTTTTTACTAAGATTTGATTCTTGTTTTCGGTTAATATGGTAGGATTAATTATTCTGGTAGTTCCCTTTGCTCTTCCGATTCATTTATATCATCATTATGAAAGTAATGAACCATCGGATTTAACATTTCTAGTTAGCCCATCAAATACATCTTCTCTTCTTAACCTTTAGAAGACCGGGACCACCACTTAAGTGCAGTCTTCAAGCACTTGTAAAAATATTTTATAAGCTTAGCTAGCACGTGTATCTCTCTTTTCTTCATAAATATATTTTTTATTTTCTATATAAATTTCGCATTAGCTGCATAATAAATACTCTCAAATTGAAAATAATTTTATACATACAACAATGAATATCGAAAATGAAACTTGGAGTAGTGGTGAATCGGAGGTTGATGAACAAGTTGATTTGGATATGACAGGGGAATCTAAAGTTGAAGCTATTGATACAGCAGACGATCAATCCGATTAACCTAATGTTGATGTGGTTTATGACAATTGGTACTACCCCTCAATAAAAGACTTTACTGGACAAGCTAGCATTATTGAAAATATTTCAGTAAAAGGCTATACTCCTTTAGATTATTTTGAATTTTTTTTTGATTCGTTTCTCCTAGATACCTTAAGAATACAAACCAATATTTATCAAGACCAGAATCCGGAAAAAATTCGTGTACATATGAAGCCGTGGGTTGGGTTTTTTAGGATTATCAATTAATATGGGACACGTTCGAAAAAATGCATTGAAAGATTATTGGAGCAAAGATCCCCTTCTGCTAACTCCAATGTTTGGGGGCTATATGTAGCGAAATAGATATCTGCGATATCTTCATTTTGCTAATAATAAAGATGTAATAAATCATCCTTTGAAAAAAGTAAAACCAGTAATTGACTATCTAAAAAATAAGTTTTCTAATATCATCAATGCAGATTGTATAGATGAAATCTTACTCTTGTGGAAAAGACGGCTAAAGTTCAAGCAGTACTTACCTCCCAAAAGAAAACGTTTTGGTATCAAATTGTTTGAACTGGTGGACTGTGAAACCGGATTTTTACTTGATTTTATTGTGTATACTGGCTCAGACACAGATTATGATAAATTTAACTTAGGAGTTTCGGGGGATATTGTAGCTAATTTCATGAAACAATATCATAATAAGGGTCATATTTTATTTATTGATAACTAGTACTCATCACCACAGCTTGCAGAATTTCTGCACAGCCGAGATACAAGGGTTTGCGGAACTGTAAAAAAAATCGAAAAGGAATGCCCGTTTTGAAATCCAAGCTAAACCGTGGTGAGGTAGAAGTTGCCCACACCGACGTCTGGATGGTAATGAAATA